TATCTTACCTTGGTGCGCACTCTCTTTATCCGAACCCTTGCCATTCACATCCTTGCCGGTATCGCGTCCTGCTGCTGCCCCGTTGGTGCAGCATCGCTTCCACAGCAACCAGCTGAGCAGCAGCAGCACGGGGACAGCCACAGCACCAGCAACTGCGATGCCAGCAGTGGCTCCATTGGATAAACCGCCTCCAGACTGGGAGGAAGAGGCTGTAGGCTCGCTGGGAGTTGACGTGGGAGGAGGTGGGGAAGGGTTTGGCACTGGCGATGGGGAGGGTGTTGGCACTGGTGATGGAAAGGGTTTTGGCACTGGTGATGGGGAGGGTGTTGGCACCGGTGGTGGGGAGGGTTTTGGCACTGGTGATGGGGAGAGTGTTGGCACTGGTGATGGGGAGGGTGTTGGCACTGGCGATGGGGAGGGTGTTGGCACTGGTGATGGGGAGGGTTTTGGCACTGGCGATGGGGAGGGTGTTGGCACTGGCGATGGGGAGGGTGTTGGCACTGGCGGTAGGGAGGGTTTTGGCACTGGTGATGGGGAGGGTGTTGGCACAGGCGATGGGGAGGGTGTTGGCACTGGCGATGGGGAGGGTTTTGGCACTGGCAATGGGGAGGGTGTTGGCACTGGCGATGGGGAGGGTTTTGGCACTGGCGATGGGGAGGGTGTCGGCACTGGCGATGGGGAAGGTGTTGGCACTGGCGATGGGGAGGTGTAAGGGGATGTAAGAAAAGGTACAGTTTGCACAGGGAGAGAAAGTGAAGGAAGGCATCGAAATGCTGGAGCAGATAATCTTCAGTACCCATCAGAAGGCATACATCCGAAGCACAACATGTATGGGATTCCGTGTGAGAAGTGGCCAAGTTGTGAATGCCTGACATTGGAGAAAACTTGTAATATAAAATGCAAAACAGTGTTTATGCACTCATCAATAACAAGAGCAATGCAGAAAAGGCAGTAGAAGTTGGAGCTACATTCATAAGGAGATTGCTTATCACCTGGTGGTGTCTTGTCACACGTGGAGCAGAAGGAACCACACTGCTTGCAGAAAGCACTTGAAGTGGTCTGTGGGACCACGGAGCTGCTGTAGTCAGGAGGGCATGTGATTGCAGTCCAAGAAAAGTCCCTGTGTACACACGGAGTGTTATCAAGCTATGAGAGTACTCGCAAAGCATACATTGGTCTGTTTTGCATGACATTGAGCAGCCCGGTTCAATAGATGGCAGCAAGGTAGAAAAAAACGATTGTTTTTTTCGATGGTATTTTACGGTACCTTTTGGGAAAAAAACGTCGTTTTTTTGTTAGACAAAAAGAACTCTTCAACTTCAAAGATGCTGTTCTGATCACAAAAGCACTTCTAACAATCTTCTGCTGCATCATCAGCACTTCTAACGGCCCACTTGTTCTTCTCACCAATCAATCACCTTGTTTCAGCAGCAGTTTTGGTATTTTTACTGAAAAAAACGAAGGTTTTTTTGCACCAAAAGTATTTATTTTCAAAATCCGTTTTTATCGTTTTTGTACGATTGTTTCTTACGATACGGTATTTTACGATCAAAATTTGAAAAAAAAACGTCGTTTTTTTGCACCTTGGATGGCAGGCATATCATGATTCGGCCAATCCAGCCCAAGTCGTGACCTTGGTACGTTGAATGGTTGAATATATCTTACCTGTGGGTGCAATGTACCAGTGGAACACCTCACCAGTGGAACACCTACCTAGGTACCTTGTACACCACTTTGTGAGATGCTTCAAAGCTAGAAAGGTAGAAAATGCATTTTCATATGCGAAGATGCCTTACAAGTAATCAAGAAGAGTGAGATTGGCAACTGTTGGAGGGAGCTGGCCAGTGAGGCTGTTCCAACTGACATTGCTGTACATAAAATAACAGATAATAAACGGTTTAGCCCCAGCTAGGGCATTGCCATCATGATTCCTGATGGTGCATGCATGCACCAGGTTTCACATGTACTAAGATGAAGACACAAAACATTGAACCAAAAGATTATAAAACGTAGAAGAACATTGGAGAGCGAGATAGAAAAAACACATGGCCTCCTTGGTCAGTGGCCTGGCTCAACCCAGCGGCCTGGCCCTGTGCTCATGCTTAGGGTATAGGGCCCACCATTGCAGGTCCTCTGGTTTCCGAACCTGTGCGATTAGATGCTGGCTCTCTGTCTTATTCCCATGATGATACTCACAGCCAAACTAGGTTGGTCAGGCTACCGATGGTGGATGGAATAGACCCACTCAAAGATTTTTTGTAAAGATACCTGATCGTACAACATGCAAAGGGTGTAATGAATGAAACAAAGTACTGAATACAGGAAGAGAACCTTAGTAATATTCATGGATACATTATTAGGGCTGCATATGTGGATAGTGACGGATACGGTGAAACCATTGGTACCAAACACATACAAAGGGTGTCCTGATACAAAAGAAAAAGAAGAAGGAAATATATGGTAGTAGAGGGACGTGTGATATCATGTAACGAGAATGACGGAAGAGAACATGACATGCAACCTAATGTGATAAAAGCTACCAAGTCGAACATGTGCCTGATTGTGAGCACAAACACAAACATGTGCCTGATTGTGAGCACAAACACAAACATGTGCCTGATTGTGAGCACAAACATAAACATGTGCCTGATTGTGAGCACAAACACAAACAAGCTACTACACTTTAACGCTGACATGATAGCACAATGCTGCAAGTAACAGCCATTACACAAAATCAAAGCGATAAAAAAAAAAACAGGCGCTTTTTTTAGTGTTTCACGAGCATGCAAACATGTACACATGCAGAAGCAAAAGTTAAGGTCACAGAGTGCACAATGTAAGTGGTGGTGGATGGAAATACATGTAAACAAGATGAGATAGCAATGCCAGCAGAGTGTCTAGCATGGGGTAGTCCAGACTAAAATGTCTTTGTTTCACCTGAAAAAAAGTTTTATTACGAGAAGGAAAGTTGTATTGAAAAGAAGAGTTTCAATTTGATGAAAAGGAGAGCTCAGGGCTTGCCTAGTCTTTACGAATTAATTTGGGGTTGATAGAACTAGTGACAGCTAAGTCTCATGGCCCTGGCATGATATTAGAGAACCTCACTTACTTCTCCTGCCCATGGATGGAAGTTTTTGAATCTTCTTTGCCCGTATATTTTATCTCTTGAACATTGCAAGACCTTGTCATGAGGCTAATACGGGGAGATCAATGGCAGACCCTGGCACCGAGACGCCTGGCTCAACCCTACTGCTGATGGTTCTACAATTACTGAAACAACTCTTTTCGGGGTCACCTCCGAGGGTCCTTGGGTGCCTGACTAGAGTCAGCCCCTATCCAAGGGTCTGAGTTTGTTGAAAGAGCAATTCAGTAGACTAGAGTTTCAACAGTGGAAGCCCTTGTCACGGCGAGGGTAGAGAGTCCGTTGGACGTCAAATCTGATAGTAGCGTGTGAGATTAAATGTGTGGCAGAGTGTTTTATTAATACTCAGGCCATACATTTATATATTCTCTAGGCTGTTTCTACTGCTAGCTACCTAACATGGCTGAGAAATTCCTATCCTTAGCGAGGCGCGAGCAATTTTCGCGTTTCCCTCGTTTTATTTTTGTGACTCAGCTAGGTTGCGATTCACCGGCGAATGTTTTAGCTGTTCGCGCGGAATTTATTAACGGTGTTGATCCGTTGTGATTTTTGCGCCGTTCTGATAACGGCTCCGATCGATCCGTTTTGTTTATTTGAGTCAGCTTTGCTGTTTTGAACATGCGTGCTGATTCGGGCCAATTCCCTTGCTTGAATTCTGGTGGCGTGAGCAGTTTCGCCACGTGCTTTGATCGCTCGAGCTGTGAGCACTTTCTTGGGCTGACGTGTTCCAGATGGCGAAAGTGTAGCTCTCGAAATGTCGGCGCGCATGTAGCTGCCCTCTGCTTCAGCCGCATCAGCTTGTTCAGAGCCTGTTTCGAACTTGTTCAAACACTGATCTGAACATGTTCGGAACCGGTTCTGAACATGTTTGAAACCTGTTCTGAACATGTTCGGAACCTGTTCTGAACATGTTCAGAACCAGTTCTGGCTGCGTGTTCAGGACGACGAACTTTGCTGCGCGAACATTTGTCCAATCAGCGCAGTCGAAACCTGTCGCTTTGAGCACCAACAAACTCGCAGCGCGAACGGGAATTCCGTGCTGTCCTTTGCTCGAACCGAACCGAATCGACGCTTCCCATTTGTCGAAGCCAAATCCCCTTGAACACTCGACTCGATCATGAACGATTCGCCCCTGCCCTTTTCGCCTCAAATGACTTGTGCACTCCCAGGAGATAAACCGGCTAATTGATATACATAAAATTGATTCTGTAGTGCGCAATGTTAGTAGTGGCGGAAATGCATAGGTAGGCTTGAGCAGAAGGATCCGGGGCAAACCGAACAGAAAAGGTTAATATGCCCCTTCATTTCTGGGTCGAACATGTTCAAGTTTGGTTCGTCGCGGATGGTGGAGCCGAGTCAACCACCGGACATTGGCTGCAACGAGCACAACTGTGTTCATCGCAATTGTCCTGCAACCAAAACTTTGAAGTCACCGGGAAGGGAAATGTTGAACGAGCTCATTTTTCAGCTCAATGTTACTCGTTTTTTTAGCGAGAACCTAAACTAGCAGCAGCTGTGTTTGGTATACCTCTACTCGAGTTAAAAAGCATATCACATATGCATATTCCTTAGCTTAGCTTAGCCTAAGGATGCCGCCAATGGCAGCTTAGCTAAGTACAGGGAAAATCCAAGGGGAAAACACGTCATCGCCATGAACCGTGACAACACTCACAAGTCGTTGTCCCTTTCTGCATTTTTTAAGCTCGCACCAGTTTCCCACCTTTTTACAACTTTTCGTGGCCATTTCTTGCAGGTTAGCCTAGGCAATGAGCGGTTTAGAAGTGTTTGTTAGCATAGCAGAAGGGGGTGGAATGATTGTTCATCACGGCACCTTCTAGTAGAAGGCTTCTACCTTGCCATGACATCTTCAGGGAGGTGAAGTTGACATGCCAGCCACACCCGCATCATGCTTCGTAGGTGGCTTCTTGGCCATGCCCAGGCCGACCTCCAGGCACATGTTTAGGTGGAGTGGGCAGGCGTGGGCACGCGGACACAAGCCCGAGCTCAAACCTTCTCGCACGCATGAATACTATAGTGGTATTTCTGATGATGATGATGATGAGGAGGAGGAGGAGGAGGAGGAGGAGGAGGAGGAGGAGGAGGAGGAGGAGGAGGAGGAGGAGGAGGAGGACGAGTGGGAGGAGGAGGAGGAGGAGGAGGAGGAGAAGGAAGAGGAGGAGGAGGAGGAGGAGGAGGAGGAAGAGGAGGAGGAGGAAGAAGAAGAGGAGGAGGGAGTAGGAGGAGTAGGAGGAGGAGGAGGAGGATACCGGCGATGATAGCCATGGAGATGATGGGGTGGGGGAGGATGACGTGACCATGAGATGGGCTAGTTGGATGGAGGCCGAGCCGGAGGAGGTGGCCAAGGGACAGAGGATGGCGGATGAAGCCTCCCAGCGCCAGGGTAGAGTTGGGAAGTGTGAGAGATGGAAACCGGCGGTTCGCTAGGGGGGGTGGCGCAAGGAGGCCAGAGGTGGAGGAAGCGGAGTGGGAGGTGGGCCCTAAACCCTAGACATGGCAGAGTTAGCAGAGAGGTGGTTGGCGGGGGAGTGGCCCCCGCTGAGCGAGGCGATGAGTCACCAGTGGGTAGCAGTAAGGGGGTGAAGAGGACACGGAAGCTGGGATGGCAGGTGCAGATGTTTGATCCCTTGGTGATGATTATGAAGCGCAAGTACAAAATATGTGTTGATAGGATCTCTTCGAAAGGTATCGTCCCCACTTCAGACACACGCCATTACCAAAGCTTCCATACAGCTCACATGGCCATATGGGAGTATCGTCACGACCGCCCCCACCTCGAACATGTTCGCCTCAAATATGTTCCTGCTCGAGACGAACATTAGGTTATTCGCCCCTAGACGCATAACCCAACTAGGGATGAGCAAAGGGCGAACTCGAACACGTTCAGGTTCGAGTTCTCTCGAACATCACCATTTCCCGAACCAGCACTCTTAGCTGAATGTGTTCGGGTCAGGCTGAAGAAGTGTTTGAGATATGTCTGGCCCGAACAGGTTCATGTTCGCGATTTGCTTAATTCTAATAGTAGGATAGGACAATGAGCCGGAACAACTGTGAATCCACAGTTCTTAGCATAGCGTACTCCAGTGTACAATGTCTTTGCTGTCTGGATTTGAATAGATTGATTGTGAGAAAGAAAGTTTGTAAGCCACTAGAAGAAGAGATTCAATTTGATGGAAAGGAGAGCTCAGGGCTAGCTTGTGGTTGACCAATCATGAGGGCAGATTGAGACTAGCTGGATTGAAGACTTGACTTGGGGATGATGGAACAAACGTCAGCTTTATCTTGTGGTCCTGGTCTTTGCCCTTCTCTGCTGGCTTTATTTCATAGAACTTCACTTTCATTCTCCTGCCCACGTATGGATGTTCAAAATCTCCCTTGCCCACGTCTCTTCTCTCTTGAACATTGCAAGACCTTGTCGTGAGGCTAATACGGAGAGATATGTGGCAGACCCTGGCACCCAGAAGTAGATGGCGAGGCTTCTTGCAGGGTTTAAGGTACACCATTGGTGATGCCTAGATTTCTACCCATGAATCTCAAGGATGCGGATCAATGGGCAGCCCCTGCCTGTCATTTTGTGATGGACCTCCAATAAACTTGGTGGGAAACCAACCTTTCACCACTGATGGGCCTTGGTGGCCTAACTCCAGCTTGCCCAGCTCTTCTTGCTAATGCCTAGCATGCATTTTTATACTCAAACTAAACACCAACTTATAAATCAAGGAATGAAGCACAGCCATCCAACCCATAGGCGAAATGTCAAATAGATTTTGTTGACACTAACAGGTATGTAAGGCTGCTCATGTAGCCGATGGTGGACGGAATAGGTCCAGTCAAATTGTTGAAGGCTAGAGACCTGATGGTTCATACCCATGCAGGGTTCCATTTTAGGGGGTAGAGAGAGATAGAGTAAGTTGTGGGTGGAGAACATTGGTAGAAACGAAATAAAAAAATAATCAAAGCATAAGCAGGGCGCCTTACACACATTCGAAAGGGCAGTTACGGGTGGCTGTAATAGTGGAAGATGCTACGGTGACATGTGAATGTGACTGTTACACAAGGTACCGAACGTAGTAGGTGCATCATGTTGTGACTACAAACTGGTTCTCTATACTTTAACTCTAAAACTGTAACAGAATTTTCTGAAGAGCAGGTATTACAATATTGGTCAACAAGGAATATAACAGGAGGTTTTGGCCTGAAAAGTTACACAAGCATACACACATGTATAGACCAAAGCAGCAGTGAGGAGTATAGTGTGCATGGAGACTAGTGGTCAATTGGATACCGAGTAAACATATGGTGCTCAATGTTGAGTGCAAAATGTGGTTTGCACGTCAACCTACTGCCTATTCGCCGACGATAAAGGAAAATGAGAGTTTTTGTTTTAAGGTAATTTGTGGAGTGTGAGCGCATTTGTGTGCTTTACATTTGTGCGTTTACGGTTTGTGAATCGCCTTAGCGGTTCATAAGTTACATGTATTTGAATATTCATGAATGTTCGTGAGTTTCCGTGAAAGCGCATGAAAGTTCGTGAGTTTCAGTAAGTTCGCATGAGTTCGTGATTGTTCATGAGTCTGCGTGTGCGCTCATTGTTTCTCATGTGTTTTCGTGAGTTTTTATTAGAGTTCATGAGAGTTCATATTTTTTGTGTGTTTTAGAGAGTGGCGAGTGTTTTACCATGTTGACTAGGTCACGCTGGTCAAGGTCAACCGCGCGCGAAGGTCAGGACCCGCGTGTGGGGTCCTGACATACGCGTGTGGCCCCTCAAAGCTCGCGCGTGTGCTTCGGCACTGTTGCGAGCGTGGCAGGGCCCACGATCGCAACAGGACAGGGCACATTACTGCCCTGTCTCACGCCAGGACAGCGCACGATCGCGTACGCGATCGTCCTGTCCTGCATGACCGAGAAATATCTCGGTCATGCTGGCTGGCACGTGGGGAGCTCGGGATTTACAGTTGAAATCTGTATCCCGTGTTGACTTGGCAAACATGAGGTTCCGCCAAAAAGTCATGCCACATTGCGTGATCATTTCGACATAGTACAAAACGGTAAATTCCGTTTTGCAACGGGAAAACGGTTTTCCCACACGAGGCTTCATGAATGTTAACGGGAATTCATGACTGCTCACGAGGGGAGTCAGCAGGGGCGTTTGGATCAAGTACAACTCGAAGTCAGTTATTCTAATGAAGCGGGTTAAGCCAAATGCAACTGAAGTTTGACAACCGTTTCACCAAGACAACATGGCGAAGTCTCATAATACAGTTTTATAACTGTTAAATGCTTGCCTTGTGTCTGCACGGCGTCCTGAGGGCCCGGACGCCTCCCTGGGCGTCTGCACGGCGTCCTGAGGGCCCGGACGCCGACCTGGGCGTCCGGAGGGCCCGAACGCTGACCGGGGCGTCCTGGGGGCCCGAACGCCGACCTGGACATCTGGTCGGCGTCCTGGGAGGCTGGACGCCGCTCTGGAGGTCTGCACGGCGTCCTGGGTGTCTGGACGCCGGACTTGTGACGCCGGGCATTGGTGGCCGGCTACGGACTGTGCTGGTTGACCGGGCGTAGTTGCCCGGTCGACAAGGATACCCAGGCGACGTGCGCGAGTGTCGCCGGGGTGGAGTTTGAGAGGCCGACCTCGGGGGTGGTATCTCGAGGTCGACATGGCTGGTGGGCGCAGTCGCTGGCGTGGAGTTTGCCAGGCGTCTGTGCTGTGCGCGTGACAAGGAAGTGCGCACCAACCAGCTGCACGCACCTGCAAAGCAGGTGCACCATTGTCCTGCGGGTGCAACGCTGTACAGCCAACTTGCTGCAGCGTTGGCACACCGTGGACTTGCAACGTTGGCGCGCCGCTACTCTGCAACGCTGGAGCGGTGCGAGCTCTGCTGCGCTGGAGCGCGGTCGACCGTGCTGCGCTAGAGGTCGACCAACAGCCTAGCCTAGCTCTGATGTAGTCTGTGTTGCCAATGTTCTTGCAACCATTGTTGTCAATCTTTGCTAGTGAAACTCTTGCAAAATCTCCCCGTGAATGTGCAAGCAGAGAACACACAAGCAAACGACTAAGGAACGCAGAGATCACAGGAGCACTCGTGCCTAGCTCGTAGTCTAGCTCCCGTTGTTGCAGTTATCTCCGCAAGGGCCATATGTTATCGGGTAATGGGGCAGTCAGGTCGGGTCGACTTGATCCGAAATTCGGTCGGTTTTATTAAATGGGTCGCTAGGCCCGGCACGAGTTTAAGCAATTCCACGCCAACCTTCGCGATTTTTCAAGTCATGTTGATACTTACCTCTCCACATCTTTCTAACTAAATTTTTTCAAATACAGAATCGAAAAAAGAGAAGAAAGTATGTTAAAGAATATAGGCACCAGAAAGTCGCTTCCCACAGGAAGAAAGGCGCATGCCACCTCGCCTCAGCGCGAGCGATTTTCTTACCTTCGTGCGCACATTGTCGGAACCGCGCGGGGGTCGTCGAACGAGGGCAAGAAAGCACCCCCTCTGACATTAACATATGCGGCAAAGAATTGTGCGATACGCTGCTGCTTGGCACGTACCTACGGCAAGCGTGTGTGCGTGATCAATAGGATCACTATTTGGACCCATGAGATGGTTCCATTATGAGATGGTTAGCAATTCTGTTACATGCACAATTTGGCCTGGCAAAACCGTCAAGGTTCAAAATTTGTCGGCCTGCCAAAGGTGCCAAGCATTGGCACTGGACGGCTGCTGATAATACTAGATAGAGGAGTAGGAAGTTGAAGGGACATATCGTATAGTTCCGGCTAGAAGACCCGGGGGACTCTCTACAAATGCTGGAAATTGTGCTTGGATGGACATTATGGCGGCAGCAAATTTTTAAGACCCGAGGTAACCTATTTGTCAATTATCAATCTGATATTTAGGGTGTACGACTCAATTTGGGGTGGGGGGGTCTTATATTCGTAACGAATTCGCGCAAATTTTGCGCGTGCGGCGCGTCAGATCTGTGTCAGAGTTCGAGTCTGACACAAAAAGCGTGTCATAATTCGGATTTATTCCAGTAAAAGCTGACTCACAATATCAATTATAACTGTATACAGAAAAGGGGGGTCTTGTGATGATTAGAGGCCAAGGGGGGGTCCTCACAAAATCGGCCACAATAAGAGTCCCCCTACCCATTCAAGAGTCCCGGGGGACCTTCTTACCGGCGGGTCTTCTAGCCGGAACTATACGGTATGAACAACGCGCACTGGAAAATTGCTCCTGTCCTAAAATGCTTGAAAGTCCCTCTTGTCCATGAAACTGCGGAAGAGGGTGTTGACTGTCTGTGTTTCTAATGCACAGGTTGGGTCTGGTCGACCCATCGCAAAGTGTGCCATCATATTTTTTATGAGCTGGCCCATGACAAACTGACCCAGGCCCGGAGCTGGTCGAACAATGTTGGCCCGCTCCATGCAGGTAAACGTGCAACGAACCCGGGAAGTTCACGACCTCTGAGGAACCCCGCAACAGGAACCCATGATGCTGGAGCCATGCTGGTCAGATGTACGAACCCCGTTTTGTCGAAGCCGGAGCCGTTTCTTAACTCCAACTCCTATTTGACTGAGCGTTTGAGAATGATGCTGAGAAGGTGCGGTGAGAATTGGAGAAAATTGTTCGTTCCTCATGAACCTGTGAAGAGATGTTAGGTGCTCAAGCCAGCCACGGGCAGGTCAGGCGGACTTGTGGCTCCCATCGGCCTGATAACTGGATTTGATGCATCAGGCGACATTGATGCCAGCATAAAATTGCTAGCGTCTGGACGCTTGACGCAATTTTGACGCTCGGGCAGGCAGCCAACAAAACAAATGGTGGGGAGAGAGGGGAGGGATGGTCGGGTGAAGGGAGGGGGATGATTGATGGGCCGACCAAAAACATGAATCTGGCCTCCTAATTTGCCAATGCTAGAAAAGCCCCTAGAACCTAAAAGCCTCGTTGGTTGGGGTTTCTAGTGTTGACTACTATTAGGATCTGGGAACTCTTAAGCACACCTTTAATACACACTAGATAGTCCCCACGGCGTCACCTCCAAGGGTCCTCGGGTGCCTGGCAATGCCAGCCCCTACCCAAGGGTCCGTGTTTGTAGAGGGATTTTCCCAAGTGTGAAAACGGTCGTGTGCACTAAGAGCGTTCCCAACCTCAATTGCGCAGCGTTGACGAACGATAGGTGCGTGTGCAGAAAAGCTCCTCGTGTCAATACGTCGATAGAGCAAATATTCACTCCAAAAAGTTGATTACAATGAAACACAAGAACACAATTATAGAACTACTAATGCATGAGCAGAACTAACACAAGACAAACATTAAACAGTTATAAAACTGTAATATAAGACTTCGCCATGTTGTCTTGGTAAAACGGTTGTCAAACTTCAGCTGCATTTGGCTTGATCCACTTCATTAGGATAACTGATTTCAAGTGACACTTCATCCAAACGCCTCTGCTGACTTCCCTCGCGAGCACTCATGAATTCCCGTTAACACTGATGAAGTCTCATGTGGGGAAACCGTTTTCCAGTTGTAAGAATTTACCGTTTTGTACCTGAAACAAATTTGTCTAGCTAGGCGCGCGACTTTCCGGCGAAGTATCCTGTTCGCCACGTTACAAAAGTCAAAGCTCGAGATTCAGTTATTCAACTGAGATCTTGAGTCAACCCCGAGCACCCTTCGGGATTCCTCGGCACCCCCCGAAACCCACGCGCACCCCTAAGGGGTGCAATCATGAATGATCGACTTTTGGGTCGTGCTGTACAGCGCATTGACGTGCGCTGTCCTGCGCGAGGACAGGGCAGTAATGTCCCCTGTCCTGTTGCGATCGTGGGCCCTGCCACGCTCGCAACAGTGCGAGGCGCACGCACGAGGCCTGAGGGGCCATACGCGCGTGTCAGGACCCCACACGCGGGTCCCTGAGATTCGCGGACAGTTAACCTTGACCAGCGCAAAAAGTCAAAGTGGTAAAACCACTCGCCACTCATTAAAATGCACGAAAAATATCAACTCTCATGAACTCTCATGAAGACTCACAAAAACACATGAGAAACAATGAGCGCACACGCAGACTCATGAACAATCGCGAACTCACGCGAACTTACCAAAACTCATAAACTTTCATGCGCTTTCACGGAAACTCATGAACATTCATGAGCATTCATAAATTGCACTCACACACAAAAATGCACATAACTTATGAACCGCCAAGGCGATCCACAAACCGTAAACGCACAAATGTCAAGCACACAAATGCGCTCCTCACACCCCACAAATTACCTTAAAACAATGATTCATTTTCCTTTATCGTCGGCGAATATGCGGTAGGTTGACGTGCAAACCACATTTTGCACTCAACATCTAGTTGCAGTGCAGTTCAGTGTGGTTTGGGTGTTGATTTTGTGTTTGTGTCTTGTAGGGGGTTTTGATTGTCACATTGCTCTTGTGAGTTCCTTGTCGGGTTTTCCTGTCGCAGTGCAGTTTAATGTAGTGTGGAGGCTGGTTTAGTACTTGTGTTTTGTGAAGTTGCTCTCTGAGTCGTGATTTCGTTGAAAAATAGTGGTTCGATATGGTCCTCCACCGGAAGCTCCACTCAACATGGTCGCCACAAACCTGACGGGGCCATCTTTCGGCTCATATCAAGCCAGCCACTGATCGGCAGTTGATGGCCAACCCTGGATTATCACAAGTTGGCCATATGTAGAAAACTCGTCAGTTCTTTCTCATACTCACTTATGCAACCACATCCACATCCTCACAATCATGTGTTCATGTTCCCACCCATAGCATATCTACTGTTACTCACAAATAGCTCAGCATGTCCAAGGCACTGATGGAATTTGGAATGGATCCAGTTAGGCCTTCGATGGGCAGATTGCTGGTGGGAGTGGAATAGGACGAGTGGGGAACATTATAAATGGGATCAAGAATGAAAGAAAATGAGGTATTGATGAATCCAGGTGCTTTGGGTATTATGTGCGAAGAAGTAGCCCTTGCAGTTGCAGCCCAAGTGTTGTCCACCTACACCTAGGTCCATAGACACGATAGCACCTTGAGGGGAGCGTTGTGGATGGCGTTTTGCTCCTCTGAACTCCTTCCGATGTGAGCCATGCAAGGGATGGAAGGGGATAATAAGCTACCTCAGGCAACACCTTCACCTAGTTTAGCCTACATATGCGTATATTCAGTTTCTATGTTTACGAATGGATGGTGCGGTTCCGTGATGACAACTGAAAAAAGGGTGGAGTTTTGGGTTTCTGAAATGTTGACGAGCACAGGCCACAACCGGGCCGGCTCGCTGCACACGAGACGTTGCACACAGAACAGAGCAACCCTCCCAGCAAGACCCCCAGCAACTGCAAACCTTCCCACACCTCGCGTGTACATGAACGACGCTCCTCTCCCTCCACTCACCTGTATACTCCACTTATCCCTTGATAAACCCCAATGAAACGCCTTTCACTCACGTACCTGTTGCTTTACCTGTTGCCATACCCCTTGCCATGCCAATTAGTGCTCTGACTTATGCATGACCGGAGTACTGGAGCTGTGCCTATCCTAATCTCTTCTGTAGGATCTCATTTTTTTCAGTTACTTCGACGTAGCAGCACTAATGCAACATGGGAGGTTCTTACAGACTCCGCATGGAAGATGTTCACTTGCCCGATGGTACTTAATCCCATTCGTTTACGCTCTCATTAAAGCTACCATGGTAACTATGATGCGAAAGACGCTCAGAAGACGCTGCGTCCTGCGTCTGGACGCAGCGTCTGGACGCTAGGACGCAAGACGCGCGTCCAGACGCAGGACGCAGATCGAAATTTTTTCAGGCTGCCCCGAAAAAAAAAAATCCCGATTACAAAATTCAATCTCGCGATTTCGACGCGACTGTCGAAATCGCGAAATTTTAACCCCCCATTGCCCAATTCGACATTGAAAAACAGCCCCCCCCCCCAACATTTCATAACCCCCCATGCAACAATTGAATTCCAAATACCTCTCAACCACTTCACATCTAGAAAACCCAACCAAGGTGCCTACCACCAAGCCCATTTAGCAATCCAACCAAGTCATTTCTCATTTCACCACCCAACCAATTCTCTTTTGAAAACCCTAGAGGTTTTAGCCTACAAGCATAGCGTAGCTCCTTTATGGCTTCCTCAAGCAACCCTACGTCATCTAACGCATCTAGGGATGTTCATGCCGAGGACGAGTCTCCCCCGCGGCGTTTCACTAGTGATGGGGTGGAGAAGAAACCGCAAAAGCCTAAACACCATATTTATAGGCATTTTTGGACATTCGAGGATCCGACGAAAAAAGGATTGCAGTGTGAGTGCCTTTGGTGCGAGAAATCGTTCGCCTTCAGTGGTAGTCGGTGCACTCAGCATCTCGCCAAATGGAACGACGCGAACGTGCGGCGCGATGGCGGTGTTGTTTGCGCGAAGGTCCTTTAGAGCATTTCAGACGCCATTCGCGGCGGGAAGGAGACAAAGATTACGGCGCGCAAGGATAAGGAGAGGGCTTTCGAGGCGGCGCTTACTGCGGTGAGCGGCCATGGTGGAGCGGAACCGAAGGCGAAGAAGGGGCGGATGGAGGATTGGTATGGCGAGGGGGGGAAGGCGGCGAAGCGTGCTGCCGACGATTCGATTTGCCTCTTCATCACGGCGACGCGCTTGGGGGAGACTATATGCCAGCACCCCCTCTTCCTCAACATGCTGCGCGCTGTGAACGCCGCCGAACCCGGCTATGTCCCCCCCAAGCGTGGTTACGTTGGAGGCGCCGGGCTGCTGGCGTGCAAGCAGCAGATTGAGAAGGGATTGACGCCCATCACGAAGACGTGGAAGGAGACTGGCATGACGATCGCAAGCGATATGATGAGGGACAAGAGCGGGCGTGCGCAGATGAACATCCTCTGCATCAACGCCAGTGGATCGGTTTTCCAGGAGGCGGTCGACTGCAAGGCGGAGACCAAAAGCGGGGCGTTTATCGTGAGCGTCCTGCAGCCGGTCATCGAGAAGGTTGGACCGGAGCACGTCGTCATGATTTGCACGGACGGCGGCAGCAACTACGTGTCCGCCGCCAAGCTGCTGCAGAAGAAGTACCCGCACAGTGAGTACGTCCCCTGCGCCACTCATGTGCTCGACTTGCTGTTGGAGGACTTCGGCAGCATGGCTTGGGCGCAGGAGGTCGTGCCTATGGCGACCGACATGATTTCGTTCATTCGCAGCCACAAGTGGACGCGTGCCTTCCTGCGCTGTCCCGAGCTGCACGGGGAGAAGTCGCTTCAGCCGCTGCGACCGGCGGGCACGCGCTTTGGGACGCAGTACATAGCGGTGTCTCGTCTGCGTGAGATTCGCCCTTAGCTGACGGCGATGGTGACGCACAAGGATTGGGAGGAGAAGGGGAGGAAGCAGCTGACTGGGAAAGACTTTGAGGCTTCGGTGTTGGATGTGGAGTGGTGGGCAAAGGTGGATACCTTCGTGAAGGTAATGGCGCTGCCGTACAAGGTGATGAGGAAGACGGATGGGCCGGCGAAGGGGATGATGGGGGCAATGTACGACATGATGCTGCAGCTGACGGAGGACTTGTCGACGCTGTTGGAGAGTGCGGATTGTCCGCTCAGCGATGCGGATAAGGAGGGGTCGCTGGAGCGCTTGAGGCGGCGTTGGGACGAGAGTTTGGCCTGTCCTCTTCACGTGGTAGGCCGGATTCTGAACCCGGTCAACCAGGAGGAGGGGATCTATCTCAAGGACATTGAGTGCACCAGGGTGATGAAGGCCTGGCTGTCGCGCTCGAGGGCCTTCGTCGGCAAGTACTGGAAGAAGGATGGCGAGAGGACTGGAACGATGATGGCGCTGGAGGAGGGGATGCTGGCGTACATTGAGTGCAGGGGGTGCTTTGGGACGGAGGAGGCGATAGAGGGGCGTGCGCAGCTGAAGGCAGGGAAGGGGGACATGGCGACGTGGTGGAAGATGAATGGCTGGGAGTATGCCGATCTGACAGGCCTTGCAATCCGTGCGGTGTCACAGGCCGTTTCCGCTTCTCTGTGCAAGCGGGGATGGGCTACGTGGGATGGGGTGCACACGGCGCGCAGTAACAGGTTGGGATCGGAGAAGGTGCGCGACCTGGTGTTCGTGGCGCACAACTGGAAGGCTGTGCTCGGCCACCACGAGGGTGCAGTTGTTGCAGGGCCAAGTGGGGAAGTGAGGAAGGCGGGGGTAGTGGAGGGGAACATTCCCACCCCTCCCCTCCCCGAGGGGTACATGTTGGAGGAGGATGGGGAGAGGGAGGTGGACGAGGACGACATGATGGTCGATGAGTACAAGGACCAGGATGAGAAGGAGATAGCGAGGAGGACGGGGATGAGTGACTGGCTGCCTGCATGCAGTGCTGTGGTGGTAGTTTAATAGTATGCGTGTTCTTCAGTGATACGATAAACTGTGTATGTGACCTTGGGACATGTGTGTGACAATACGTGACTCACCTTAATCTTGAGATTTGGGGGAAATTTTGATGTTGGGGCCAAGTTTGCCTTGAAAGTGTGGAACGTTTCCCCCCCCCCCCCTCCCCCCCCCCCCCCCCTCATCCCATGCCCTATAACAAGTTTTTTTGCCTGCCCGGGGTTTTGTTTGCCTGCCCGGGGTTTTTTTTGCCTGCCCGGGACTGCGTCTTTTGGTGCGTCTTTCTGGTCCTGTTGAGGCGTCCTGCGTCCGGACGCATGCGTCTGGACGCATGCGTCCAGGACGCAGGACGCGTCTTTCGCATCATAGCATGGTAATTGACCTCAATATGCCTTCAAAAACAGTAGGGACCATCCTAAGGAGATCGCTAAAGCATTCGGTCAGTCCCAAACAGTGTTAACAGTGGCTCTTGAAGAAAGGGGGTGCAAGAGAAACACAAATAACCACACAGAGGGCATCAAGGGATTGCATGTACCGCAAGGGTTCACACTCGCTGAAATGCACCAAAAATCTGCAAATACAGAGCATGCAGAATGGTGGAGCGAGAAGGAAAACAGAGGCACCCAAGTCAAGGTTGGCAAGAGTTGGTGCACACATGGGGGATGCAAGTCCAGCTAGAGTTGGTTCTCTTACATGTAGGTCACCATGCCTTGGGCATCGCAGTACACACGGTAGGCCAAGCTGCACTCCCCCCCAGCCACCCACCCAGGGAAATTCCGCCCCCATGCTTGCTGCAAGTCCAGCAGGACTTGCTCTGGTGGCAGATGGCGGGGGGGAGGGGGGTAGGAGGGCAAGAGTATGATAGGAGGGGATGGGGCAGGAATCAGAGTTATGATCCATCAGATCTCATCACCTGTGTGTCGCACCTTTCTCTTTCTCTTCTTCCAGCCTGTGCCGCACGAATGTGGAATGGACACATGCGATGGTGAGGTACCCAGAAACCGTGACTCAGAGATTGAAACCTCTATGGTGATCAGCAGTATGCACATGCATGGGAGCATGGGCATGGGGATTCATTCACTGATAACGATGGTGCCACCGGTGGTAGGAGGCGCAAACATGAGGGGAGGTCAAATACTATTTCGGGGGGGGGGGGGGGGTCCTAGCTCCATTAGGCACAGCACGAGTACTAGTAAGCTACGTCTAATAGTACTCGTGGTCGTAGATGAGCTACGACGCCTTGCGATGCTGCTTCCACCCATGGGTGCAAGCCAACCACACACCAAATCCCCCCCCATGCCTGCTGGAATTCCAGCCAGCAGGAGCTGCCTGCTTCTGAGGAGGTGGGATGGAAGAAGAGATGAATTGATCAGCTCATCAGCTTCACATGGTCTTCCATCTCTCTCTCGAAGACCCTGCACCAGACATAGGGCACACAAGTGTGATGGGCAAGCACGAGGAATTTGTTCCTCATGTGGGTGAGAGAATATTGGAGAAATTGCGGTGTTGCAAAGCTATTAGCATGCTGCTGCAATTTCAAGCTTGGAGTTGGCCGGTCAAGCTGCTAAACATCATGCGTTGTGAAAGCGCCACTTGAATTTGATGACGCCGTGGCACGGTGGTGTCACAGGTGCCTACATTGTGCATGGCGGGATGATGTTGAACGAAATACTAGCTTTGGTAGCGGAAAACACAGCGGACTCGGGCCCCGAGTAAAAACCGTTGATCATAGTGACGCGCCATGGCAGCCGAGCCGATGCGCCCCGCGTCATGGTGGTGCCATCGTGGTGTGAGAGCCTCCATAGAACCCTTGCTGGACTTACTTCTACCGTCACCAAGACTCCATAAGACATTTTTTTTTCAGGTCAACAGAATACAGGAGGATTGGAGGTGAGGGTGGGGGTCGTTCAAAGGCGGCCTCCTGAACGCCAAAGTTCGTTACCTTGGGAGCCGGCGAACGGGACACAGCGGACTGGAGAAACCAGGGCGAGACACGTCAGAAAGAGCAGTAAGCCGAGCGGTATGATCCTTTCCTTGCATCACAAAAATCCTGCGTCCAGAAAACCTTTGGAAAGAGTTGCTTTAAAGCTTTGTTGAATGATTTATAAACGTCTTGTTTGGTACGATATTTTGAGAAAGTATATACCTTCTTCTGGATGCTTTGTCGAACGCTGTTCGCATGCTTCTGCGATGCTTGTGTGTTCAAACCTCTCAGGTGAAACCTTCGGCAGAAGTTTGGTTGGAGTTTCCGCAGAGCAATTTCGGAGATTCGATCTCATTGCATTGTACTCTTCATGGACATCCGGTTTAGTTATAATGAAGTTGGATTGGAGACTTGCAATGGTTAACATGTTGTTTAACAAGATGTTTAGTTGCCTCATCCTAGCATCCAAAATGACCATTACTGAAGCGTTGGTAAATGGGTTTTATTCTCAACAAAAAAGGCACATACAAGAGCATCCTACACCCCACCCTCTCTAGTCAAAGACCCCGCCTCTTAGGGTGATCTGCATCAACCTGCTTCTCATGCTCCCGTACACTATGCCTCCCACTACACCCCATGTCACGTGCTCTAGGCCGAGCATGCTCGCCCCTACACCTAGCCCCCATGATCCATGCCTTGGCTGCGACCCCACTTCCTACCTCTCTTCCTGCATCTCCCATCCCTCCTTCACTAATTGTGGTACTATTGCCCTGCCCGTGCGTCCACTGCTTCCTCGCATGTCCAGCCCTGTCATGCGTCTGCTGCTCCGCCTTAGACATCCTCTAGTCAAGCCTTTACTGCTGTTTGCTTTGTCCTATCCGGTCATGCCTATACTGCTGCGGCCCTTGCACCACTCCCCTCCGTAATGCTGTCCCCCTTTCTCTATCCACACGTGCCTTCCCTGATGCCCCCCTTGCTGTCTCCACCAATGCCTCTCCTCGCACGTATGTGATGCCTCTCCTGCTGTCCCCTTTTGTAAACTCCACGCATGCCTCATCTGCAGCCCCCCTTGTCTCGTCACACCATCATTTGGCCCTCTTGCCTCCCCTTCTTTTGCCATTTTCGTGCCTTTTGCCCTTCCTCCGCTCCTGGCCCCCCTGCTTCTCATCCTCATCCTCATCCTCTTCCTCCTCTTTCTCCTCTTCCTCCTCTTCCTCCTCTTCCACTTCCCTCCAACCTCCCTTGCCTCTGCCTCTCTTGTGCTTTCTCCCCTTCCTCCGCGACTGCCCCCCCTGTTTCTCATCCTCCTGCTCCTCCTCTTCCTCATCTTCCTCCACTTCCTCTTCCAACCTGCTTCCCTGCCCTCTGCCTCTCTTGTGCTTCCTGCCCTTCCTCCGCTCCTGCCCCCCTTGTTTCTTATCCCCCAGCTCCTCTTCCTTCTCCTCTTCCTCGTCCGCTTCCCTCCTGCCTCCCCTGGTTTTCCCTCCCTTGTGCCTTCTGCCCTTCCTAAGATCTTGCCCCCCCCGTTTCTCATCCTCTTCCTCATCCCTCCCGCCTGCCCTAGGTCTCTTGTGCCTTTTCCTCTTCCTCTGCTCCTGCCCCCACTGTTCCTCGTCCTCCTCGTCCTCCTCCTCCTCCTCCTCCTCCTCCTCCTCGTCATCCTCCTCCTCCTCCTCCTCCTCCTCCTCATCCTCCTCCTCCTTATCCTCCTCCATGTCCTCCGAGTCGTACACCTCCTTTTCTTGCTCCTTCAGGTCCTTCGTTTCGGCATCAAGCTCAGCCTTCCCCCGGAAGGCCTCAAATCCTGACTCGTGAACATACAGCCCACGGTCGCCCCACTTGAAGCCCTTCACGTCTGTATTGTACACGGGGGTGTGGCGTGTGAAGTGGTCCTTGATAATCCACCGCACATTTCGGTGCAAACCCCCCATCCATTCACTGTTCTTCCGGTGGGAGTTGGAGACGTTCCAGTCAGTCCTCTTAACCTTTGATAGGCCCTGGTCAATCTGAAAAGGCATAGCACAGTATGGGATGGAGGAAATACACCAACTTCAGTGGACACTCGCGTGCAGAGTTTAGAGGCTGCGCTAAATGCCCCACATACCATGCCGAGGGACACAAAACAGCATGCCAAGCTAGAGCATACCATGGGTTGAGCAATAATTGCGTACCACCACGATTGACCAGGCAATGTGGTATGCTTTGACGCACACCCGGCGCCCGACACAGAAATTCCGAAATGCTTCCCGGACCGCATCTACAAACCGGCCGTTGGCAAACGGGAGCCCGTCTCTGTTGTTTCCCCACGAGCTGACCCGCTGTTTCCCTCCTGCGCACATGTATGAGAATGCGGGGAAGCATGAGACATCCGTGATCATGCATGTCTCATGGTTTAGGGTTGTCCAAAGGGTATGGATGAACATCGAGGGCGGGGGGGAATGAATGGCGAGAGGGCGGGAGAGTAGGGGTGGGCGGGAGATAGGGGGAGGGCGGGAGAGAAGGGGAGGGCGGTAGAGGAAGGGAGGGCGGGAGAGAAGGGGGTGGCGGGAGAGAAGAGGAGGGCGGGAGTTAAACGGGGGGCGGGAGAAGGGGAGTGTGGGAGAAGAACCAACGGATGGCTGTCATGCGGATGTGTTTGCACATGCGCTACAAGCTTGGGCGAGGAGAGCAGGTATGTAGTCGCGTGCCAAAGTGGGGATGCATTGGGGGTACGTGCTTCATCAACGTGGGGCATGCACGAGGGGTGCATGAGCAGACATGTCAATAGGGGATGGAAAACAGTCACGCAAGTACTCACTCGGTTGGTATTTTTTCCACATCTTCCGCTTCTTCTTGGTGCCCATCCACAGTTCGGCTGCACGCAGGCCTTCCACCTTGTTGCCGAAAGTGACGAGCACTCTGCGCTTGAGATGGAAGCCACGTTCGTTCTTCCATGACGTCCAGGCGCGTTTAAAAGCGCCTATGATGTTTTTGTCTTCCATAGCCTCTCGCAGCTGCATCATGTTGATGACGTGCGTCTCGCTGATAACCTCATACAACACCTGCACGCGCTGTTCGAGCGTTGGGTAGAAGTCTATGGCAT